CTGCTCAGTGACGGAGTTTTCCCTACAAATACCAACGTATACCAAACAAATTCCAATTATTCGGCTCGGAATTACCAGTTCAATCCAACAATCACTTGGCCAGCTCCATACCATCGCAATCTACAACCCTTGACGGTACTTGGAGCCCTACTTCCTAATACGACTAGTAAATCCGCTTTCCCACTACCGGTCCCTATCTCCGTCGTGTGGACTACATCGCACCGACAACCGACCCTACAAGGCGTCGATCAAAAGGCGCAAGTTTTCTCTCACCACAAAGCCACTCGACCTTGCGTGCATGTCACAACGTGTGAGCGAATCACCTTAAGGTCAGATTGTCATTTACCCACCCGCCCGGGAGCGTACTCCATAGACCATTGCACATAGACGAACAAACGAGACTAACGAACAAACCGTGCAGGTGACAGAGAAACCAAAGAACTGTCCCATCAGCGAAAACAACCCGGAATTTAAACCGGTTGGTTTGCACCACTTATAGTAGTAAAAACTGCACCATATTTTTTTCTCGTCCCTCTGCGGTTGTATTTCTATCCAACACTTATTAGACCTACACTCAGCACCATAACATTCGTCCGAGTACCCAGTAGAAATGCCTGTTAACAATGTGAAAATGAGAAGCTTCCTGCTTAGGCTGAAGTTGAAAACAGAAAAGACTATAAGACCCTCTGATAGCACTGCTATAACCCCACCCGATGTTACTGTAAAAAGGGGACTTCCATCATCTAAATTCCAAAAAGTTAGATGTAGCTGCGAACCACTCCAACTTTACTACCACAATTTCGATTGAAAAGACAGACCGGATTATAGCCCATGAGGAAGAAATAGCCATGCTAAAATGCAAGCTTCATGAGTTCAGCACATACCATGAACAAGTCCTATCATTCTGTGAACTGCTTAGAGGTTCAGAAACTGTAACACTGGACCGATTGAGCACAGTTGCTTTCTTACTAGACTCAGTTACATCCGAAACGTAAGAACGCCTCCGTAGATCGCATAATGTTATCATTTTTAACGTGCCTGATAAACCGAACATTGACAAGGTAACAAATACTCTCTTAAGAGCATGCAATATGGATGGAGTCTCCTGTCAGTACCTCAGACTGCGGAAAAGGAAAACATGACCACATGTCCGATACTCCTGCAGTTTCCAGACGATAGGAGCGCATCCAAATTTGTACGCAGTAAAAGACTAATTGCTGCACAAACTAATTTTAAAAACATTGTTATCAAACGCTTCTTCAAAGGCGACTAACAATGAAACAACCCCCCCCCCGCCCATCATACACCCAATGTTCCTGCTAATGAAGCTGGTACTGACGCTGTCATCAACAATATCGACCTTGATAAGTCAACCGCGTCTTCTAAAATAGGCAATGATAAGCATCTCAGTCTTCAGCGGCCTCATGAGAGGTTCTCAAACAGCAGTAGTGATGTGTCCATACCTAAAAATGCCAACCAAACTGAAAATATAACGACGCAAGAGACACACACCCAAATACTTTGTCCCTTCTCCAAGCCGCGAGCCTTCACAAAAGTTGATATTAACTGTACCTGAGACCTATCAAGAACGAGACGTAAACTCAGATCGTTACGTTGGCATCACGAAAAAGAAATCTAAATCTGACCCGAATGACTTGTCTCCTAACAACCGAGGAGTAGGCAAAAACAGGGGAAATCACCTTGTCAGCATTTCTCCCATAAACACTCAGTAGATCTGAAGCGACCATCACAAGAACGTAGGGATATGCAGCTAAGCCAATTGAGAAAAAGTGTACGTCCTCAAGCTTCCACATGCAACACCGATATTGAGGTTGGGATAAGTTGCAGAGAGCCAACCTAATATTTACCCACAATATTTTTGGCTACGATTCCAAATCCCCCACGTGGTGCCAGCTGGGTGGATTGGGTTTACCCCTTCCAGCAAATAGTTCGGCGGCAGTGTTCCAACACGTGGTGGGGTTTTCCGCCTGGCAAGCGTTCTCCTTATAAAAAGCCACAAATGTCCGCTTAACAACACTGTGACGTGGCGGTTGTGACTCGCCACAACTAAAGTCACCCATTGCTTATCTGGACGACCGCTTCAAGTCCACAGCCATCATGCACCCCATTTAACACTGGCCACACGTTCAAGCACGATCAAAAAGACTGGAATACATTTACGAATTCCATAAACACGGCTAAACACGCCCACATACACACTTACATACATTTATATATCAACCTATGCGACAATCCCATTGATCCATTGTACATTGACTGATCACAGTTTGTACTCTTAACATGATCATGTCTGTGCAGACGTGCCTCGCTTAGTCGAGAATAAACATTTTATTTATTTATTTATTTAACGGGAGCTAACTAACCCATGTCTCAGACTCATATAACACTTGTAGCGCCCAAAAAGATAACTCTTATCTTTCGTGTACAATTTACTTGTTGACCGATTGTACATTATTCTTTCTTGTTTTAATCGTTCTTACAACCGGCTCGACACTCGACCGCCTTGTAAGTTCCCGCGCTCACGTGTTCGCTCTTGCCTCGCTTCATCCGTCCGCTTCTTATTGTAGCCCATCGAATACAGTCCGCTGTGTCCGACTCCAATTGCCTTCTGATATCCGCGCTTAATTTCGCGCACCGTCTCGGACTAGTATTAACTAGTCCTACAAATTGGTGACCCCGATTCGCACGCGCGAATTCAACTTTTTCCTCGTTTGTATTTTTGGCGAGTTCGTTCCTTTTCTCGATTATATACCTGTATTCATTTGTTTCTTGCGTAATTTTAGTACTTTTACCTTGTTTTGTTTCTTCCTTTATCTTTTCGACTCATATTTCGTGAGTGACAACTGAGTCCTTTCGCAGCGTAAACTTTTTTTCCTTTGGCTGTTCCAAGTTTCATGGAACACAGCCCAGAGGTTTAGTTTACGATATTCGAGATCGAACTGGAAATTATGGGCATTACGATGAACCGTCCGAGGTATAATCAGTTCGCCCGGCGCCTTCCTTCCTCGGTTGTGACGCTGATGCAAGACATTCTACTCTGCCCATCGAATAAGGCAAAGTATGAAACGATGAAGCAAGCGATTTTAAAAGAATTACGGCCCAGCGCACGAGCTCGATTTGAACAGCTCAATGGTCTCAAGCTTGGAGATCGCAAGCCGTCGGCGTTGCTCCGCGAACTTCAGCGCATCGCTGGTCCCTTATTCTTGAGCGAAGAAGGGATAAAGGAGCTGTGGTTTGCACGTCTCCCAGAGCCATTGCCGGTAATGCTGTCCATGTTTATAGATACACCACTGAAAGAATTAGCTACCAAGGCAGACGCTGCGTTCGAACGTTTTCCGCAGCAGACGACCAGTAGCTCCGGTGACGTATTCTCACCGATGAAAACCGAATCTCATATTTACTCCAAGTCGTCAGGCCGATCTGACCCTAAAGACGAGGAAATTGCACTTCTTCGCAGCAGGATAGCAGCAATCAAGCCCTCGGATCGGTGTGCCACGGTCAAATGCTGACCACGTTTTGGCTACCGTTCATTGCGGCTCGTCTGTGTCTGCACCGAGTACGTCTCGTTCGGCCCGAAAGCACAACTTTCTCCTGTACATTCTTAGTCAGATACCACCAAACCCGTCGAAGAAGTATGTTGGTATCACCGCCAATACGGCGGAAGAGCTAGACGTTGTCGGGCTCCCTGCATTGGACACAACCGAGCTGCTTCAGGGAAAGCGAATAATCTGCATACTGCCACGACAAACGTATCAGTCAATAATCAAGCAAACCGCCTGTTTTACCTTAAGGATCGACGTTCTTCCATCACGGTCCTCATCGACGACGGAGCGGAAGTCAGCGTCATCCACGCGAACGCGGACGAAAAACACTCAAAGCCTATGTACAATCTGTGTGCGGCCAACGGTTCTCCGATAGCTTCATTCGGTCAGCGCGTGATGAATCTGGACCTCATCTTCGCCGAGATTTTCAGTGTGTCTTCATGGTTGCGTCTGTACCCTTCGCAATTATCGGTATCGACTTCCTCCGACATTTTGGGTAGATTGTTGATGCTGGTCGCCACAGACTTTTAGACTACCGTACTAAACTATGGGTTGAAGGCGTTCTTACGGATGCCCCGATAATCAGTCCCGTTTTTCGAATCGCCGATGTACCATCAGATTATGCGAACCTACTGTCTGAATACCCGCGACTGGTACGACCAGCTGCAGAGCTTCCGCCAGTCACGACAGAGGTCGCTCATCACATAGTCACGCGTGGTCAGCCAGTTAGCGCACGACCAAGACGGCTTGCTCCTGACAAACTACGTGCAGCACGAGCTGAATTCGACCACATGCTTCAGCTCGGTATCGTCAGACCGTCCAACAGCCCATGGGCGTCGCCTCTGCACATGGTCCCGAAGAAGGTCATGGGGGACTGGCGTCCTTGCGGCGACTATCGAACCTTGAATACGGTTACCACGCCTGATCGCTATCCGATCCCACACATAGTGGATCTCACCGCCAGTCTGGCGGTAAAAATATCTTCAGCAAAATCGACTTGGTACGCGCATACAACCAAATTCCGGTAGCCGAAGCGGACATCGCTAAAACTGCCGTGACGACTCCATTTG